GTAAACGGGTCTCCAGTCACTTTTACCAGGCGTTTTCAGGTGGTGATGGGGAATGGCAGGGGCAAAGGTGAGGCTGTCCGCTTCCCTAAGGATTCACCGTTTCAGAAACACCATCTAGGGTCCCCATGAGTCAGAACTGACTCGATGGCATGGATTTGGTTTGGGGGGCTGTGTGTGTGGAGGGGGGGGATTAGACAAGCTTACCTAATGTCACGGCGGTTGCTTTACTGCACTTCACAGGATTCACCTTTTTCACGGACTGAACATCCGTGGCCACCCTGGGCAGAGCATGTGTGTCCACAGGTGCTCACCACGTCACAGCTCAGTGTCACATTTTGGGAATTCCCACAAGAGTTCACACTTTTCCGTAATACTACTGCACACTGCATAGACTGCCGTGTGAACACAACTTTTATAGGCACTAGGAAACAAAAGGAGCCCTGGCGGCGTAGTGGTAGCAGGTTGAGTGATTTAAACTGCAAGATTGGCAGTTCAAAACCACCAGCTGATCCAAGGGAGAAAGATGAGGCTCTCTGCTCCCATAGAGTTACAGCCTTGGAAACCCACATGACAGGTCTACCCTGACCTGCAGGGTCGCTGTGAGACAGAAACTATTGAGTTTGAGGCTGTTTGTTTGGAGGAACAAATAAGCGTCTGAGGGTTCACTTGCTCCCTAGAAACCAACCAACAAGCCGCGTGCTGGCTTTCTTTCAATACTGGCTTCTTCACAGGGCTGGGGCCAATCACAGTCTCTCCGAGGTCTGCCAGCACGGTGTCTATTTAGCTAAATAAGTGCACCTAACTCATGTGTTGAATGGCACTAACATATCAGGCCCATTCCAGTCTGAGTTGTAGACATTTTATCCTCCTACAGTCCCATGTAGAAGTCAGGTGCAGGGTGATGAGAAGAAAAATAAATAAACATAGCAAAATGAAAAAAAATAAAGTGAGAAGCTCCCTTCCCCCCCAGAGCTCCCAGAGGTGACTGTCAGTAATTGTTGTAGCTGGTGTTATCCTACAAACAAGATTATCTGCATAGGTATAAAGGTGGATTTTTGTAACCTTGTACGACACGGAGGAATGAACCAAAAATTCACTGCCATGAAGGCAATTGCAACTCATACAGAGTACAACTGCCCCTTTGGGCTTCTGAGGCTACAAATCTTTATAGGAGCAGAAGCAGCCTCCTCTTTACCCCTCATAGCTCCTGGTGGGTTTGAACTGCTGACCCTGTGATGTGCGGCGCATGCCTCCTTACCCATATGGATAGGATAGTATGATGCTTACTGCTCAGGGCCTGTTTTACATTTTTCTCATATGGCTTTATGATAAAATCATTTCCAAAACTAGAAAGTCCCTGACTTGGAAGCATATGGTATCCCAAAGTTTAATTTGCCTAAGTCAGCTTTCTGGAACTCAAAACATCTTCACAGAAAAATAATGCTGTAAATCAGAAGTCGGCAAATATCTCCCCCTCATCCTCCCATCCCACCCCCTAGCCCCGGCCCCCCCACCCCCCGGAGCAGATAGTATTTTTATCTTGGTGGGTCAGTTTCTGTCACCTGAAGCTTCCAGGAGAGGAATCAACTCAACAGAAACTAGGTTTCCACTGTCATCTGCTTGTCCAGCCCAGTAACCAGAGCAGAGTGGCAAAGAGTACCGTAATGACAGGCACAATAAAAAATATTGCCTGAGTTTACAGGTCATGTAAGGGTTCGCAGAACACTTTCCCAAGCATTATCCTTGCAACGACTCCCTGAGGTCAGGGATCTGGGTGCAGTGACTTGCCCACGCTGACACAGCTAGCACAGGGGAGAGCAGAAGCAGAGAAACCCAGCAGCCCCCACACCTCCCTCCCTGCTTCCCACGAAGCTCCCTGCAGATCTGGTGGGAAAGGCTGTTTTCTGCCTCTTTCTCGCCCTTGTTGTTAGGGTGCCCTGAACAGATGGCTGCTAACGTGTTCTGTCCTTAAGCATAAAGAGTGAGGGGTCCTGGTGGCATCATGGGGCACAGGTTGGGTAGCTGAGCACACGCTGAGCAGTTTGAAAACACCAGCTACTCCCTGGGGGAAGTTCTCCCCTGCCCCTACAGCCACTCCATGTCAGTGAGTGTGGTTCTGTGTTGGTGGCGTAGTGGGACTGATTACACACCGAGCTGCTGGCTGCAAGGTTAGTGGTTCGAACCTACTAGCCTCTCTGCAGGAGAAAAATGAGGCTGTCTGCTCTCATGAAGATTTGCAGCCTTGTAAACCCAAAAGGGCAGTTCCACTCAGCCCCATAGGGTTGCTAGAAGGTGGAATCCCCTCAGTGGCAATGGGCTTACACTGTGCCTGAGGCGCCCTGGTGGCTTTGTGGGACAAGCATTGGACGACAGACCACAGGTTTTCAGCTCAAGCCTGCCAGCTGCTCTCTGAGAGAATGAAGAGTCTGTCTAACCCTGTACAGGTTTGTAGTCATTCATACACCCTGTATGGGATTGACAGGAGTTGAATCAACTTTGGACACTGGGTTTGGGGTAATCTTAAGCAGTCTTTCCATGAAACCAGCCTTGACTAACCAAGTAGCCACACCTGCACCAGGGAGGCAGAAGACCAGCAGGTAAGACCAGCAGGTGGTCACACTGGGTGGGTTGAGATCCTTTTTATGTGGCTGATGGGCTGTGTGAACTGACTACATACTTAACCTCCGATCGGTACAGGAAAACACCCAACTGAGTGCCAGCCACACACAAAAGCCCCAGAACAGAGACAAATTTTCACTGCATCCTCATCTGCCTTCTTGAGGACCATGTCATACACGCGAGTCAATCTGTCCCCATCTCTTCCCTCTAATAAAAAAACTCACTGCCATCAAGTCGATACTGACTCATAGTGACTCAGAGTGCAACTGCCCCTGTGAGTTTCCAAGACTGTGTTTATAGGAGCAGAGAGCCCCGTCTTTCTCCTGCAGAGCTGCTGGTGGTTTTGAACTGTCTACCTTGTGGATCACAGCCCAATGCCACCAGGGCACAACACCTGAAAACAGTAATCCTTTCTACACACGTTGATGGGCTTGGCTAGTAAGCACCTGGCTGTGCGCAGGGGCCACAAGCTGGAATGACGGATCCCGCTGGTTAAACTCGGCGTCATGTAAAGTGAAAGGCCTGGGTGTGATTGACAAGCATCAGCACTGCTGGTGCAAGTTACTATTCCTGAAAGCTGGAGAAGGTGGATCTAAAGGCAAAATTACCTAAACAATTCAACTCCTGGAGGTTTCCTCCAAACTCACCAAACAGAAAACAAAAACCTCACTGCCCTTGAGAGGACACCAAGGGCGGAGAATCAGAAGCCAAGGGCTCCCCCTGGAGGCACCAGAGAGTAAAAGCTCAAAAATCAAAGTGCTGTTTTTATTCCTGCATCTTCCGCCGTTTACAAGATGAAAGGGTGTGACCTGCTTGAAACTACTTATCTTTCTGTGAGACGGAAGCTCATGAACTAGAGGCTGGAACATCCTCACAAGAGGCAATGGGTCACACTGGGCCTCACAAGAACTGGGGTAGTGGGGCTTCAGAGTGTTATGGGAGTCTAAGAAAATGGGGGTGCTCAACCAGAGGCGGTCGAGGGGTGGGAGCCCGGCCAGGGAGTGTCTGACACTCGGAGGTGGAGTCTGGCTCTGTGTGGTCCCAGGGGTGGGGTGGGGGTGAGCTCTCTGGGGGAAAAGAGCATTTTCCACAGGGGCACTATCCCTACAGAAGGAGCTGCAGAGGGCAGGCTGCAAACCTCACCACTGCGGGCATTTCCATGAAGCCTGGCCGGCTAAGTCCTGGGCCACTGCACAAAATGCTCACGAGCTGGCAGAAGTCTGAGATGCAGGATCTCCACCATCCTTTTTTTTTTTTTTCCACCATCCTTTTTTATGCTCAACTCCCCAAACAAGGAATGGCCCTCACGCTCCAAGGCGTGTGAGTATCGTTTCCAGTTACTTCCCACTCCCGCTAAAAACGGCATTTTGCACTTCAAAGGTTGCCCGGAATCAGTTTCAAAATGTTTCTACGAGGCAAAACCAAACGATCATTCCGACTACAGGGTAGCTTGTGCCCTGTCAAAGTCCTGGTTTCAATGACCATCCTACGTTTGTCTGAGCTCTTGGGGGAGAGGTGGGGACGAGGAGACAGGGAGGCTTGTGGGGCTGCTGCTGCTCTACAACTGAAGAGTCTGCAATCATTTCGAAATAAGTCTTGTTTTTCTGCCTGTTTAAATCAAATTAAAGGAGTTTCCCCAAGAAACTACAGGTAACCTCCGGGACAACTCCAAACCCACTTCGTTCAGAGCGCCCCCCCAAGCACCTGCAGGCCGCACCCATCAGCTCTGAAGATGTACAGCTGTGATTAGGGATGCCCCCATCCTGCTGACAGGTGTCTGATTCCGTTATCTGGGATCGCATCATTAAAATCGCCTATAGGCGATATATTCTTCCAGTGGCGTCCTTTGGTGCACAGACGGGAACCTTGTACAGACGTGATGGGGATGCACCATATCTTACAAACCCGGCTTAGCTCGTGATTTCCTCCACCATGACTTGCAACCGGAATTGCACCTCGTCCCTCTGGCTTATCACCAGAGCCTAGTCCAGAGCAGGCGCTCAATAAACAGTGAATAAGATGGGAACCAGCCATTACTTTCTGGAGGACTCTTTCCTGACACAAGGACATTCAAAGGATTTTAGTGAGTCTTGTCCTTATGGATCTATTTTTACACACAGATTAAATATGCATGCCACAGTCTCTGAGCCTGCTAAAACCACCTGGCTCTGATTGGGGAATTTCAGAAGTCACTGTGACTCGGAACGCAAGGGGTGCCAGGCTTTTCCAGCAGTGAGAGCCACTGTGGGGTGTTACGGGGAGATGCCTGCTGTCATGGCCTCTCTGCCCAATCGCATCAAGTCCCAGCCCCCCGCCCCCCCCCCTCCCCGGCAAGTCTTGATCCCAGCAGGCCAGAAAGCGTAAGGCAGTTGACTCTTCAAGACGGCTCTCTGTTAAGTTTATTAAAGCACGTTTTCAACTGAAACGCTTTCACAGCCCACATCAGCCCAGTGAGACGAGCGCTGCTGCAGAGAAGACGCATGACCAGCCTGCACAGACATCCAAACACCCTGTGGGCCCACGATCACCGGGACCCTGCAGCGGGGCCTCCAGAGGACCCCAGCGACCCCGGGGCCTCTGCAGGGTCAGGGTCAGGCTTGTGAACAGGCCCAGCAGCATGCCGGATCCTCAGGACTTCCGCAAAGCCATCGCCAAACCAGCAGGTGACGTGCGCGGTGTCCACGGTAAAGTAGAAGAGGCGGTCCTGGCAGAGCTTCCGACGGTACACAGACCGGGGGTCGGCCGACAGCACAGCCACCATGGCACGCCGGGCTTCCTCCGCTGACTGAAAATACTGAAACGCAGGGTGACCAGCATCTGGAACGAGAAGCACGCGCGCCCTCAAGGCTCCAAAATCCCACAGGTTCGGACTTAAGGGCAGAACCTGGCTGGTCCCTCAGCCACCATTTAAAAGGGACAGGGTTAGTCCTTCCCAGAAGTCACCCGTGGCCCACGCTGGGCAGGGAACTCGCCAGGGGTACTGGCATCAAGTTGCTCTACTTGACCCCCTCTCTAGGTAAACGGGCAGGTCCTTCTCATGGCCCAGGAGTCGGGGTGGCATAAAGGTGACATGCTGGGCTGCGAGGTCAGCGGCTGCAAAGGGCATGTGGAGACAAGAGTCCTGTGGCGCCAGGAAGAGGAGTTGGGCTGCGATCCACAAGGTCTGCAGTTTGAAACCACCAGAAGGAGCCATCGCCTGCTCCTTGGGAAAGGAGGCGCCATCTGCTGCTGTGCAGGGTTCTAGTCTCATCAACTCACCAGAGCAGCTTACAGGGTCGTCATCGCCTGGGTGGCAGGGAGTTTTGGTTTGGGTTTATAATAGCCTATAAGACCCTACGTGACTTCATCCCCCACTTCCCCAGAGACCCTCTGCCCTCAGCTCCAGCCATACGACCTAAGATGTTTTTGCCCCCTTTGTTTTCTTACTTCAAAATAAGATATGTGCAGTGTGCATAGGAATTTGTTCATAGTTTTTTTTTTTTTTTAACTATAGTCTGCCCCTCCAACGGGTCTGAGGGACAGTGAACTGACCCCGTTTAAAAAGTATGACGACCCCTGCTCTAGATAGATAGTACAGGGCAAGCTTCATAAACTGTGGGTGGTGTAACTGCATGTGGAGGTTGAAAAAATTGGCAACTGTAAAAGGTTTCTGAACTTGCAACCACTGAAGTTAATTCAAAATCAAACGTAATGAATCCAAGATGTTTCAGGCACCGCCTGCCCCTGCTGCAAATATCTCAGCTGACTGGAAAAAACGGAAGCAGGCCTGGGGTGTACACAACAAGTGGAATTTGGCTTCTGAAGGTTACCTGTCTGAAACACCCAGGAGCCACTGAGCAGGTAAATAAGTTCTAAATCACAGGCCACCTCTTGAACCCACCGTCATTCTCAGCACAACACAGACACTCCACTGAGCGTCTGGGACTAACTGTGCTGAACAGACAAGTACTCAATGAAACCCATTAGGTGACACGCACTCTCTCTCACTGCCGTCAAGTTAATTCTGCTCAGAGACCCTGAAGGACAGGGTAGAGCTGTTCCGAGGCGATCGCTCCAAACGTAAGTAGAATACTGTGTCTGGTGGTTTCGAAATACTGCCCGTGTGGCCAGCAGCCCGACGTGTAGCTGTGGCAGCCAGGCTCAGCCATCAGGATGGGGCTGCACAGAGCACTTCATTCTCCTGCTGCCCGTGGCCGTCCCCCGGGCACCCGCTGTGGCCCCAATTCGTAAAGCTCACCCTTTGCTCAAAAATGGAAACGGAGTGCACTTGGCTCACCTGAGCTGAGGTGCCTGAGGTCCAGCTCGGCATGAGGCGTGAAGCGAACTTCTAAGGTGGTCACCGGCGCCTCTCTCACCCAGGTGGGAACCACGCTGTGGGGGGCTTCAGGCGCAGCCCTGGAAAGGGAGGGAGGAGGTCCCGGCTGCGAGTCCACCTGGCTTCCCAGAGAGCCTGCTGCCTCTTGCCCTCTGCTTGGACCCTTGCCTGTCCCTTCCTCAGAAAGGCTTGCCTCCAGGGGGCCAGAACCGGGGTGCGCCTCTGGCCCCCTCGACCTTGGACAGCTTTTGGGTCCTAAACCCACAGTTGCTGCTCTCTCCCCAGGCTTGGGCACGTTTCCGCTTGTTGCTGCGTCGACATGCTCCGAGGTATATTCTTCTGAAGTTCTATTGCCTGGGCATTTCAGCCCCTCCTTGGTGGCAAGCTCGGGCTGGGGACCAAGGCTCCCTGGGCACTGGTGCTGGTCAGCAGACTCGAGTGTGGGTTCATGTTTGTCGTCTTGAGAATCCGCATCTGCCGGAGGCACCATCACACTCTGTGGAGAGTCGTAGTCGGCGATGTAGGGCTTTATGTCCAGGACGGGCGTGCCATGGACCATGTCAACCCCTGAGAGGTACACGGCTCCGCCTAGAACACGGGGGGGGGGGGCGCGCAGGGGGCACTATGAATATTCATGTTGTGAGTGGCACAAACAGTGAATGTCCTGTTCCCACCACCATTGGCTTCCGTCTCACCAGGCTCGCTCACAGTGCTCTTCCCGCCAGGCACAAGCCCGTCCCTCGCCTGGTAAGCAGCCTCCCCTTTACCTGTCAAACTCCCACCCGCGTGCGGTCTGCATGAATGGATGGATTGGGGGGGGGCGGCGCTCGGTGAAGAGGCTCGGTCCCTACACACTGAGCAGACCCCTTGAGCACCCGGTGGGGTCAGCACGCTACTACGCCTTCGATTTTAAACTCTTGCTGCTTTTAAGATCATTCTGTTTGCTAATTTAATGACTTGAAAGGAGCCTTACGGGTGTTCTAAAATCATAGCTCCTGATACACAGACGGCATCATCTGAGTGGCCCAGGAGGGCATTCTCAAATGGTTTCGATGCTCGCCGCCTCTTCCACTGTGTTGTTTCCTTCGGTACCCAGTGGGCCTTGGGGGCTAGGCCCCCTGACACTAGCCTGGCTGGGAGTCAGGGGTGTGCGTGACAGGACTCCTGGGTCGGGAAAGCACGCTGGAAGGAGACAGGGCCTCGGTTACCTTCTACTCTGTCCAGCTTGGCCAGGGTGAGTCCGATGGCATTGGGGCGGTGAGGGCTCCTTGTGGAGAACACTCCAGTCTTTGCGCCATTCAGCCGAGGAGGCTGCACTTTTGCCTTACAGCTCAAATGACCATTTTTGTGGAAAACAAACAGAATCCTATTGGAAAACCAGCAACAGCAACAGCGTGGAGTAAGGAGAGAGCAAGAGTTAGGCGATCACACCTGAGAGGGCTTCAGAAAGTTCTTGGGGAAATCCCAGGGTCTTTATAGTCCCCATTTTGCAAACCTAGACCCAATTTGCTGCCTCCCCCAGTCTGGAGGACAGGGAAGGGACGCGTGGACAGCAATGAGAAGGTGACTCAACAGAAAGCACTCATCAAAAATCAGAACCTCCGTGGTTCCCAAGCTTCCAGAAGGGTGTCCAAGTCCGCTGACAAGTCAGGGATCCATGCAGTGCAGGAACGTCATGCCGCGAGACACAGGTGTTCTATACAGCTCCCTGCACAGCTCCCTGCAGCTGACCTCCACTCGGTGCTAACTGTAACTTACCAGACATGCGAGAACTGCTCTAGGCCCATCAAAGAATGTTCCGGATTATTGAAGATGCTCTTTCTAATCCTCAGACAAGCCCGAGAAAGACTGCAAATGGATGGCTGTCTTGGTGTACCATTCTTGGCCGAAAAACATGATTCTAAGTAGCCAATTGGCTCAGTCAACAGATTCCCTAGAAGAAAATTGGGGAGAAAGTTATCAGTCAAAAGATCTACTCAAAACATCCCATCTAGGATATGGTTTTCTTGAATGAATTGATGTCACAGCTTTATCTCTACTGGGTTCAGAGCAACTATTAAAAACACTTTAATAATACTCAGGAACGCATGTAAGTACCATCATCAGCGCAGAGCTCCACTCATGTCCCTTGAGGTGATCTCTTGGAAAGAGTACCAGAGAAAGAAAATAAAGAATGAAAGAGGGCATTTTAGACTCTTTCTTTAAAAGAGGGGGCATTTAAAACTCAGTGACTACAAAAGGTATCCTAGTGACAGAGAGAGTTAAGCCGTCAGCTGCTAACTACAAGGTTGGTAATTCAAACATGCCAACTGCTGCGTGGGAGAAAGATGAGGCAGTCTGCTCTCTTCAAGATTTACAGTCTCCAGGGAGGGGGCTCCCAACAACCCAGGGACAAGGGAACAACAGGAGATCCAAAATCGATGGTGAGGAGGGCATAGAATGTCTGATGGGGTTTGATCAAGTGCAATGTAGCCGAAAGGAAATACTGAGCCGAATGAAGGTCGACTATGAGAGTGGAACAGGAGTAAAGTACAAGGAAATAGAGGAAAGAATTAGGAGGCAAAAGACATTTATTTATATGAGCTGATACCAAGGGCTCAAGTAGAAAGAAAATGTTTTGAATATGATGATGGCAATATATGTACAAATGTGCTTGACACAATGGGTGGATGTATAGATTGTGATGAGCTGTAAGAGTCCCCAATAAGATGATTTTAAAAAAAAGACATTTATAGAGGTATAAGTATAGGCATGCAAATATATTAATATAATACTGATAGGGACATATGTCTATGTACATATATTTATATGTTAAGTATCAAGGTAAGCAGGCAGACATTGGGCCTCTACCCAAGTCCTCCCTCAACTCAAGAACACTTTGTTCTAATAACCTGGCATTTAGTGATGCTCACCTTCCCAATACGATCACTGAAGTCAAAATGGGTGCATAAGCAAATGTGGTGAAGAAAGCTGATGGTGCCCTGCTATTAGAAGATACAGCGTCTGGGGTCTTAAAGTTTTGAAGTTAAACAAGTGGCCATCTAGCAAGGAAGCAATAAAATCCACATGGAAAAAACACACCAACCCTTGTGATCATGAGGTATCCATGGGATCAGGTATCAGGTATCAGACATCAGAAGGCCCCAAAAAACAACCATTTTATGCAAACACGGGGGTTAAGAATGGAGACCCAAAGCCCATCTGTAGACAGACAACTGGACATCCCCTCACAGAAGGATCACAAGGAAGGGACCAGCCAGCCAGGGTGCAGTATAGCACTGAGGAAACACACAACATTCCTCTAGTTCTTTCATGGTTCCTCCCCCCACTATCATGACCCCAGTTTAATGCTTCCTCCCCCCACTATCATGACCCTTTAAATGCTTCCTCCCCCCACTATCATGACCATAGCATGTACACTGGTACAGACAAGAGCTCTCGACAGAGAATCCAGGACATATAAACCCCTCAGGAACAATAATGGAAGTAATTATAAAATGAGGGGAAGGGGAGGGGAAACCAATCACAATAATCGATGTAAACCCGTTCCCGCCCCAAGGGGGACAAACAACAGAAATGTGGGTGAAGGGAGACAGAGGATGGTGTGAGAATAATATTAATTTATCATTTATCATGGGTTCATGAGGGTGGGAGGGGGGAGGAGGGAGGGAAAAAAAGAGGAGCTGATACCAAGGGCTCAAGTGGAAAGAAAATGTTTTGAAAATGATGATGGCAACATATGTAAAAGTGTGCTTGATACAATTGATGTATGGATTGTTATGAGTTTTAAGAGCCCCACAATAAAATGATTTAGATAGATAGATTTACAATCTCAGAAACCCTAGGGAGCAGATCCATTCTGTCCTATGAGGTCACTATGAGTCAATTGGGTCAGTCAGTATGGACTGTTTGTCTTTACATTTAATGTTTACTTTTGAAGAACTTTTTGACTACATTTATATTTATTATGTAAGTAATGCTTTCATGAATGAAACTGATTTATTTGGATTGTCAGTTTACATTCACTCAAATTGATACGTAACCGTGGAGGTAAGTACACTACAGAGATTAAAGAGGCTTAAAGAAAATTCATTTGGATGTATATGTGTCGCATTAAATGGATAAAAGTCAGCATAAATGGGAGGAGGTAAATGTAAATGGTTTGTCATTTTCGCTAAGAAAATTGAAATGTGTCAAAATGACGCGTCCCCTAAACAAAGTGTTCATATCTTTACGCTAGAAACTACACTTCTAAGATACTGAACCCAAATTAAAATATTTAGAGCAGACACTAAGAATTTAGCTTCATTTAGACCAAAAACCTGAGTTTTGAACAACTCACCCTTTGGTTACCAGCAGAATCCTTGACCACTTGCTACCAGGGTTCCTTACACTCACCTTTGCAAACCTGACTTAAAATTATTTCCACCTTCAAATTTCTCCCGTATTTCCTACAGCCCAGGACATCCCTCTCTTGGGACATTGCTCTGGGAGGGCAGTGCTCTCAACAGGGGGCTGTAAATCCCAAGTAAATCCCGGGAGTAGAAAGCCTCATCTTGCTCCCGCAGTGCAGCTGGTGATTTCAAACCGCTGACCTTACGATTAGCAGCCCAACGCATTCCCACGAAGCTACAGTTGCTACCAGAAAAGGGGGGGAGGGGGGGGGGGAAAGTCCTGGAATGCGTCATCGCACTGACGTCCAGCATATCACGTGGCAGCAGGAGCACGTGACCTGTCTCCTCGGTAGGAGGCAGAGGAGCGCACGTCAATTCAAGGTTTCTCTCTTGGCCCTGAAGTCGAGTATCTGAGCTCAGCTCCCTGGGAGGTCGGTCCCGCCGGCCTCCGAGCGGTTACCTGTCTCCAGAGCCGGCTGGACACACCCGCACTGAGCCGCTGTGGCCCGAGGCCCTGCCTCCACCGAGCCGCGCATGACGCCCCACCGTCTCCTTCCGCCTTGGCGCGCCGAGCCCGGCGCATGCGCAGTAGTCGCCGGCGGGGCGGCGCGGCCCTGGGTTGGACACGCCCACGGGAGCAGGGGGCGTGGCTGGTGGCGCCCTGCAGCGTGCGCGCGCACGGAGGTGGACCCCGGGCGGGGCGAGGGTTCTTTCTTTTCCTTCTTTTTTTTTTAACCATTTTATTGGGGGCTCTTACAGCTCTTCTCGCCATCCGTCCGTCCAGCCGTTGTGTCGAGCACAGTTGAACCTACGTTGCCATCATCCTTTCTCAAAGCATTTCTTTCTCCCGGAGCCCTCGGTATCAGCTGTTTGCAGCCCCTTCCTCGGGGCGAAGGTGCTCGGGGAGCCGCGCGGGGTGTCCCGGGGGCTGCTGCGGCGGACCACCGGCCTCGGCGAGCGCTCGTGGGGCTTTCCCCTCCTGGAGCGGCACGGTCCGGACGACACCTGCTCGGGGCCCGGAACCGCGCCACGCGCCACCAGGACTGACTGCGGGAAAGCCGGCACAGGTGCTGCGCCTCCGGCCGGCCGAGCGCCGCGCTGGTGTCCGCGAGCTCCACACCCGGGCGGGGAGGGGGGATGTGATGAAAGCAGCGAGTGTAGCAAAAGGTACAAAATCAGTCGCCACAAAACGAGGGACCCAGACCACCGAAGAGGTCGAAAAGTCCGTTGATTTGGAGAAATCAGAAACAACTCGATGGGGATAAGCATGTCCGAGGTCTACTACATGGCTACAGAGCCTCCGTGTTGATTTAATGATAAATGTTGCAGGGGCGAATGCCCAGGAGCTCCAAGTGGTCCAAGCCAGCTTGTCCTGTTTGAAAAACAGGCGGACACGCTGTGGAGAGGCAGGCGCGGGGGAGGGGCGAGGGCCCTTCCACTGTCCATTCCGTGGCTGGATGGACATCGGCGTGGGCAGCCGAGGGTGTAGTGCCCCAGGTGGAGGAGTGGTACAGGGGCGCAGAGCGGAGCTCGCCACTGCAGCCCGGGAGCTTCTGACACAGAGGCAGCAGCAGACCGCAGCTGGGGAAATAGCCCTGGTGCAGGCGGGAGGATGCTCCTAGTTCATTAATTAAATAAATGCTAAGTGGATGGAAATAGACATTTTCTGGGCAAAACATCGCCCAGAGAAGGCAACGATAGACACAATTGTGAACCTGGTCAATGAAAATGCGGCCTCTCATTTTAGGAACACTTTGTAAAGAAGGCAGGCGCGGGAGTCAGGAGACCACCTTTTAGTGAGAAAAGGTGAAAAAAGACCAGCAGAAAAGAGACCCCAAGGTGTACTGCCAGCAGTCGTGATGGAAGGAGACTGTCTTTCCAAAATATAGCGCTTCTCCTCCACCTCTAATTTCTCTCCAAGTCAAGGTTAAAGTACCTGTGCAGTTTTTTTAAAATCATTTACTGTATTATGCTTTCATATTTAATGTGCTGTATTAATTGTATGTTTTAGGGGGTCTTTCCACAACCTACGGCTGCTGCTTTGTGTTAAAGTCCTGGAAGAATGAATTTATAAGTGTAATTTTTAGGCCTCAGACCATTTCTTGGTTTTCCATTATTCCTTATGGGGGAAAAAATTCATTTCTCAAAACTTTTCAGTGCTCACACACAAATTTGGGACAAAATAAGTGTGACAGCCAAGATATCGCTGATTATTTTTAATGATGTGTGTGTCTAGTACATTTTGGTAGTAATGAGAGGGCCAGTGAGAACAAGTAAGGCCTTCAGTGAAATGCACTGGCCAGTGGCTGCCACGATGGCTTCAAACAGCAACAATTGTGAGAGCACCCCATGACAGGCAATATGTCCTTCTGTTGTGTCCGTCGCTATCAGTCTGAACCCACTGGATGTTACTTAACGGCAATATGAAGGAGCCATGTAGGAAAAACAACAACAAATGTATATTAAGAATATTAAACATTCTCTTCTGCTGGTGGAAATACAGATCATTATTTTCTTTGCACTTCCTTGCATGTCCTAAGTCTTCCATAATAAAGTGTTTTATAAAATATAAAAAGAACCTCCAATAAACCTTATTTCAGCTCAGATTTTTAAAAATCATTTTATTGGGGGCTTGTACAACTCTTATCACAATCCATACTCCATCCATTGTTAAGCACATTTGTACATCTGTTGGATCATCATTCTCAAAACATTTTCTTTCTACTGGCAGCTCTGATTTTTTAACCCCAAAGACTTTGCTGTGTGCGCTCCATGTCTCATGAAAATGAAATCATGAATCAATGTGCCTACCAGGTCAATGGGAGGGATGACTGTTGCTGCTGGGCATTCCTGGAAAATTGAGGGCAATTAACCTCTCTTCCTGAGTCCCATGGATGGCCAATTTCCCTGTATTGGTAGTTCATCCTTTACCAACTGACCAATGCCAGTCTAACCTACATCAGTTTTCTCTACATACCCTGTTGGTACAGAAAGGGAGAAACTTTTAAGGGAATTTTTTTATTGCCTATTGTGGCAGTTACATAATCTGGTGTCATTTGAGAGGATTAAGAGTGAAGGGATGGAGTTTAACCTGTCAATCAGGTTGCACTTGATGACCTCATTTGGAGGCACTACAGAGATAAAGAGCTCACTGGAGGGGGGATACAGAGACACTCCCTGGTAGACATTCCTGTTGAGAAGACACATGGAGCTACACTAGAACCCTGGCGCTGAAGGAGCCATACGGAGACCCCTGCCAGCGCTGAGATGCTTCCACTGCCACCCACTGGCCTGTGATCTTCCTGCATTTGGTGTCAGTGCATGTGTTGCATGAGTCTGAAGAGGAATTTATAGATTGGTATCAGACATAAGGGCTAATAATAGACTATGAACTTGATCTGGACTGGGCTATTTTAATAATTATTACTCTCTGATATAAAACTCTCACATATATATGTGTCTATGAATTTTTTTCTCTAGTCTACCCAGACTATCACACCTACAATAGGAAATTTTCCTAAGTATGCAAACCTACAGATTTAAAAGCTTACCATGAGAAGCTGTTCCTAAGCCTGCTTGTCATTTCTAGTTAGGAAGAAGTAGAAATGAAAGCTGCAATAGGGATCAAGAGTGTAGAGGGGGAAGGGACTTTTAAATTTGATCAAAACTATACATATATGTCCTCAGGGAGGTATTTTCAATTGGCGATTTGGAAAAAGCTACTAGTCTCTGTTTTCAGTAGAAGCAGCAGCACCTGGGTAGACAACTGGTGCTTGACCACTACACCTTTACACCACCAGGGCTCTGTGTGGTCAACACTGGTATACACACGTGCTCGCCAGACGCTCCATGGGAGAAAGCCCAAGCCATCTACTTTCATCAAGATCTACAGCCTCAGAAACCCTAAGAAGTAGTTCTACTCTGTCCTCTGGAGCCTCTGTGAGTCACATTAAGTAGGCAATTAGGATTTTTCTTTTTAAAAATTTTTTACGTATGTTGTAAAACTGATACAGAAATACCTGCACTCACTTGCCACTAGATGGTGGTGTGACTGAAAGTGATCCACTCAATTTGTGGAAAGGTCGGTGCTGTGGATGAGGAGTTTGTGTTAGTCTGGGTAAACTAGGGAAACAAATCCACAGAAACTCATATGTTTTATATAAAGGGTAAGTGTACATTGAGAAAGCATCCCAACCGAGTGCTGTCCAAGTCTGGAATAATCTTATTATATGTAAGTCATAAGATGTAACCTCTCTGGGATTGGAACCCACGTACCTGGCTTAAATGAAAACACCCTAAGTGACTGAGACAGGTCATCATCGGCGTAGTGATTCCCAGCCACTCATTTGCCTGAACGAGAATCAGCGAGTTCTGGGCCTCTCCCTCATTGAACAGCATACCCACCACCAGGTGTGTTCCAACTCACAGCGCTCCGACAGAATTTTCAAGACTGCAAATCTTTGTGAGAGCAGACAGCCTCAGCTTTCTTCCATGGGGTGGCAGGTGAATTTGAACCACTGACCTCACCATTAGCAACCCAAAATCTAACCCACAGCTCCACCCCCATTGCATCGATCTAGGAAGAAGGACAACACAAAGCAGGGCCAGATGGATTGCTAAAAAAAACTGACCTCAAGGTTTCAAGTCAGGGAGAAAACTGGGCCCTTTTACCCCCAGTGTACAGTGGTTTTCAAATGAGCATCAGGAGAAAGCAGAGATTGTGTCTAAAAAGGTGGTGGACCTAATGTCGGGGGCTTAAATGGAGAGAAAATGTTTTGAGAAACGATGTACAAATGCGCTTTACACAATTGATGTGTGTATGGATTGGGATAACAGTTGTGTGAGCCCCTAATAAAATGTTAAAAAAGAAAAAGGAAAAAAAAAAAAAGAACTGTGAATAAAGTGGGACATGGAGTTTGGGGCTCTAAATTTGGTTGACTACATTGTGAGAATTATAATCAATGCACAGAACAAAGCTTGGGTGAATTTTTGAATAAAAAACTAATTTTCTCTGTAAAAAAAAAAAAAGAGTAAATAAATAAAATAAAATTTTAAAAAAGGTGGTGGAAAGGGCTCTGAAAGGTACAAAGAGGTGGTCTCCTCTACTCTTCTGCAGTGTTTCTAAAGCTCCACCGAGCACCATTGCTGTCTGTACGGCTGAGTGCCGTGGGTCCCGGATTGGGCTTGCTCTTCACTGGCACAGCGCCTGCGTGGAGAGCTTGAATGCACTTCACTTGCAAGAGTCTCTCTTACTTTGAATCCTCAGTCATAACAAAGGAAAAAGGAAGGATGAGCAACAGACCAGGTCAGGAGAGAGCGAGCGAGATTTTTGCTAACCAAGGCTTATATATCTTTTGGGGATGTGCAAGCCCCCTAATTACAGGTGAAGACATGTGTCACAGGAAAGGGTTGTACTATAGGTAATACAGTAATGGGAGGGGGACAATCTAGGGGTATACATGCAATAGGAAGGGGAGGGATTCACAGGTGACAAGATGGGCGGATCCTTGATTCATGATGGCGGCCTAACCTTGATGGCCCCAGAGCTGGAGACTTTATTTAGCCTAAGCGTTCAGGGGAAGCCATCCACTGTCCCTAACAGCAGGGAGTGAGCCTGCCTATTGTGGGAGAAACAATGGTGTCTGCTTGCTCTGGATGGCTGGCGTCTTCAGGGAGATAACTTGACAATCATTTACCATTAGTTGCAAGCAGTGTCCTAAGCCTAACATATACATATTTCGGGGAGTCGAGCTGGGGAACACACCCCATTATCTAGCCAGTATGTGAGAAACTCTTTAGCTAGAGATGAAAAATCCGCTACCACTTGTCTCATAATAACAAGTTGTTAGCATATTCGCCTAGTACTACCTTTGAACTAGGATGGCTTGCAAGCAGTTCTCTAGAACCTAACTGGACCTTTCCCTTCTGTGTGTCCTGGGTAGTAAGGCTGCTTATCCTCACATACATTAATCTTCTCCTTAATCTGAGACTCCTCTTTCAGGTCATTCCATCCAAAAATAATCATTGCCTTTCTTGTTTCTGGTGGCATAGCATGTTGTGTGTTAGGATGCTAACAGCAAAGTCAGCAGTTCAAATCCATCAAACTGTTCCTCGGGAACGAGATGAGGCCATCGGCCGCCATAAAGATTTACAGCCCCAGAAGCCCTGTACAGGGCCACGATGAATCCAAATCATCTCAATGGCACTGGGTTGTTTTGTTATTTAACCCAAAGGTGCTCCCATTTCCTACATCCTTCTGTAATTATTTCTTTTCCATTTGACTTCCCCAGGGGACTGGACTGAAGTCCTAGTGGGCAGGAACCCTCCGTCTTACAGGTCTTCTAACCCACAGTGCTTGACACAATGCCATCCACGCAGTTTAATACATAACCATGTTTAATGTTCACTTTACACAAATAGTATACTTAAAATGTTTACAAACATATTAAAATGTACATATAAAAGTAGATGATACTCATCACTTGAAGAAATCCTTGAAGCTGAGGTAACTAGAATCATAGGAATGGTCAAAGTTAACTACAAGAGTCAACTACACCTGAATAAAAGTTTGATGCTATGATCGCATTGATCATGGAACAAAGTCTACACGGAAACTATAAACTTCTATTTCCAAACATTCTAAATGTTCAGAGTTAATCACTTATCTACTATTAATATTTAATCAAAGAAAGATTTCGTTTTAGGTGAGGGGCGTCAAGTATTCAGCTCCTCCCTCACCTTTTTCTTCTCTTCTCACCAATACCACACCACACACACCCACACACACCCACACACACCCACACACACACACACACACAGTGGATTTCATCTATCGGTAAAGCCCTAAAAGACATGTACTCTCCTTCAAATATGTCCCTTTTCTATGTCTATAAACAAAGACGAGCACAGGCTATCGTAGAGCTATGTATTCTCCAGCGGATGAGCGCGCTCGGGTTGGGACTGTTAAAATAGCGCGTAGCCGAGCAGGTCCCTTTTGCCGCGCTCCTCTCGAGAAGGGCTCCGACTGGCGGGTCCTTGTGGCTCCTCCGCTTTGGGTTTCACTTTCACGTCTGAAATTCCAAACAGAACGTTAAAAATAAGATTCAATCATCAGCACGTGTGACAATTGAGTATTCATTTGCAGAAAAAGAATCTCACACATGCACAAAATAAATTTTAGATCGATTAAAGATATCTATATTAAAGTACCATCAGTCTCCTGGAGGGAGGAGGTAAAGGGGAGCTGACACCCAAGAATTCAGGAAGAAAGAAAATGTTTTGAAATTGATTGTTGTACCACTTGTACAATTAGCTGGATCTATTTGAATGATGAAATGTTATGACATCTGTAAGAGCTCCCAATAAAATGATGGATTAAAAAAAGTATAAATCTTTAAAATATAGAAAATTACCATGTTAAAACATTATTACAATGATATGAAATTATATTATTACAATGATAATTTTCATGTCACGGAGTCCAGAAACCATAAAGGATAAAACAATGACACGTCTTAACTAGCTCAAAGTTAAAATTATAAGGCCACCACCATTATCGATAAGCATGGTTGAAAGGAACCATTGGAAAAATATTTACATCTATAGCTTGAATGTAGGTGAAGGTTTAATGACTATACTATTGAAAGGGGTTTTCATCAATTAAAGGAGACAAACCTCCTAAAATAAAAATGACAAAACTTCTAGCAGGCAATTCACACAGACAAAACCTAAAGTGGCAACAATCAAAAAACACTGCCTTGTAGCAAGAACAGTCAGAAGGAATTAAAATAATAAGGTTTTCTCAAAAGCAAAAATCTAGCAAATAGGCAAGATTCTAAAATCATTTCAATGCAATCACAGTATTGACAACGTTGGGGGGGGCATACTTTTGTCAGCTCTAGGTTTGTGCAAAGTCGGTACGTTTCTGGAGGTTACTTGGGCTAAATGTATGTCTTTCTGAAATGTACACAGTCTTTGACCCAGCCTCCAGGGATTTCGCCCAACATCAGCGGACAATGTTCACCTTTCAGTGTCTCCACTTCTCTGTAAAATGGGGATGATATGATTTATCCAGTGGCGTTGTTCGTCGTGAGCAATGTTTACTACATGTTAACTAAATAGTCCTTCCAGTGATCTTCAGTACACATTGCTATCATCGTACACAAAAACAATAAAGGAATCGGTAAGGAAATAAGCGAACACCAGGATTCCTTTAGAAAACACCTCCCGGGGCATGACTATGCGCCGAAGGATTCCGAATCCATCGGCAATGCTGTGCAAACATTCTCAGTGTGGTCCCCTAGGCATGCCAAGCTCCCAACCATCAGAGAGAGGTCAGGTGTTTTCAGAAGTCTAGGACTGATCAAGAAAGGGGCGGAGACAACAACAACTATCGAAAGGGGTTTTGTTTGCTTGTTTTGTTTTTTTGATTAAAACCCCCTAGAAATACACTCATAATTTATTCTTTTGTATCTCCCTCTCCCTCGGTGCCTTGTATCTTGAATTCATTTGCCTTTATCAGGAAGCTGAAAACCTCATGCAATGAGCTGCTTTTGAATCTAGACGTCACTGCACATAGCTACACATATTTGGTACATAATTCAACCTCCTCAGACTCACTGTCACACCTAGTCGACGCTGACTCACAGTGACCCTACTGGACAGAGTAGAACTGCCCCCGTGCGTGTCTGAGATGGTAACTGTGTACAGGAGCAGAAAGCCCCGTCTCTCTCCCACAGAGCAGCTGGTGGTTTGGAACTGCTGACCTTTCGGATCGCAGCTGAATGTGTAACCACTGTGTCACCACTCTGTCCTAACTGTGGAGTTGATTTCCCTCATTGGCAAAGCTGCTCAAACTGACTGGTAGGTACAAGTACCTACCTGATGTACATGTAACTGACTGGTAGGTACAAGTACCTACCTGATGTACATGTGTTCATTTTCAAGTATTTGCGTTTTTGAGTCTTTGGAAATCTGCCAAGACAGATTTTGGTTGAGTGCAAACATGCTTTACTTGAAACTAGCCAATGACATTCATGGTACCTGTTGAGATTAGTTGCGGATAAGAACATTGGAAATCACTCTGATGGGGATCTACCAATGTCAGTGCTGAAGATTATAAATAGGGGACATCGGGAAGTGGTACTGTCACTGTCTGATCTCTAATAAACAGCCCCTACCTGGAGAAAAAGTATAAACATCCTTAGCATCTTCCTGGTATGTCATAGGATCCTGGCCTTGAGAGCCACCTGTTTTTTGGTATGGGATTGGAGAGCATTCTTCAGGCACATGTTTGTGTGTATATGCCTTTGTAGAGAGGTCTTCGGGCCCAGGTGTGTCTTGGTAGATTTCAGATGAGTAATCTGCATATCTAGGTATTTTCTGGTATACATCAGCTGAGTATTCTGATTCAGGCCCAGACTTCCCATGGTGTATTTCAGGTGAATGTTCTTCAGGCTCAGGTGTTTCTTGGCATCTTTCCGGAGCATATTTTTTAGGCCCAGGTGTTTCTTGGACTGTTTTCAGAAAGGGGACTTTGGGCTCAGCCAGTACTTTATCTGTTTTATGTAAGAAGTCAGGTTCAGTGGTTTCTCTGCCTGTTTTTGTAAAAGGGTCTGTAGGCTCAGTGATCTCTTGTAGTGGAGGAGGGATACGTGTAGCCTCAGCTGTTTCTTGGTCTGATTCTGAATTCCATTCTTCGGGTTCAGCTGTTTGGGGGTCTGTTCCAAGAGGGCAGTCTTTAGGCACATCTAGTGTGGGGTATCCTCCATCCAGGCCAGCTGCAGCTTCTGTCTGAGAAGGAAGGGCTGTGCGTACAGCTGTTTCTTGGTGTGGTTTAGGAGAGAGGTCTTCTGGCTCAGACATCTCTTGGTACATCCTAGAAGGGTGGTCTCGAAGTACAGCGATTTCGTGGCACATTTTAGGAGCGAGCTCCTCAGATCCCACCGGATCTTGGTACATCCTGGAAGGATGATCTTCAAGGACAGCTGTTTCCTGGCAGATTTTAGGAGAGAGGTCCTCAGGTTCAGCCATATCTGGGGACATCTTGGAAGGATGGTCTTGAAACACAGCTGTTTCTTGGCACATTGCAGGAGAAGCATCTTCTGGTTCAGCCACATCTTGGTACATTTTTGGTGTGAGATCCTCAGGTTCAGTCACAGCTTGGCACGTTTCAGAAGGATGCTTTTGTGCTCCTGTCTCTTGGTACTCAGAGCAATTTTCCTGATGTCTAATGCCTTCTTGACAAACTTCAGGAGCGTGTTCCTCAGCCCTTGCATTTTCCTGGGAGGTTCCAGGAGGGCCGGCTTTGGTTTCACTCCCAGGAGGCGCCATTCCTTGCTCTGGAGGTGCCAGCACTAACTCCACCATGGCCGCTTTGTCTATGCGCGCCAGAGGCTTCACCTTGAGTTCTGCAGATTGTTGGCTCTTTCCGCTTCTTTCATTTCCTTTTCCTGTTCTCTGCCGCTTGCCTTTTTTCTGTGCCCTGCGGAGAGGACAGAATTCGTGTCAGCAACAGGGCTAGAGAATTCAAACAAATGTTTGTCGTAACAGACCCAAGCCCCCAGCTGCCTTGTGGCATGCCCTTGCACAAGTTACTAGGTCTCTTGGGTTCAGTCTTCTTGTTTGGAAAAATTTGAGACGTTCTTAACGGTCAGGAGAGAAAATGCCCCTCTGGGACTTTTTGCCTTAGAAGCTTTGCTCACCAGGAAAGCATTTTAACTTGAGTTTAGTTATGGAAAATTATAATCCTTATTATAAATAAGTTAGCATTCTACTGTAAGTTTAGGGGCAGTGAGTAATGTTAACAGGGAAGGAACAACTTGAGAACAAGAGGCTGAGGAAACCCTCGGGTGGAGGGTCTCTGAGGCTGTAAGTCGCCATGAGAGCAGACAGGCTCATCTTCCTCCTGCAGAGCACCCGGTAGACTGGAACCGCCAATCTTGCAGTGAGCAGCTCAGTGCCTCGAAGGGATGCTCGAAGCTGCATCAAAAGCTGCACGTGCCTTTTGTGGGGGCAGCAGCCTGTGCAGAGGCCTGAGCAGCCACGTCGGGCCTGCGCCTGATTAACAGCTAAAGATCCCAGGGTTTGAGAGTGATTGCGGTAGCGCTTGTACAACCCTGAACTGTCAAGTGGTATGAGGTCTGGGTTACGTCCTAATCAAATGCTTTAAAAGTAAAAGTCAAGAATTCATGAGGGTGGGAGGATGGGGGAAGGAGGGAAAAAAGAGGAGCTGATACCAAGGGCTCAAGGAGAAAGAAAATGTTTTGGAAATGTTGATGGCAACATATGTACAAGTGTGCTTAATACAGTTGAATAATGGATTGTCATAAGATTTGTAAGAGCCCCCAATAAAATGATTAATAAATTTTTTAAAAATTCCAGGAAAGAAACTGATATGCATTGACACTTCAGCCAGTGAGAAATGGTTAGGCACTACAAACAGAACCAGATACAGACGGCTTACACAGACAGGCTCAAGGGGGCGCGGGTGCTGTAAGCAAGCACTGGGCCTCTTGAGAGAAGCTCCCTGGGCTTCTCTGATGGGCTTCTGTGCCCAGCCCACTCAGCAGTCTAGGCTTTATGCAGAGGGTCCTGCTTAAGCCAAGGAGTATTTATTAAAATCCTCTTAGTATTCATATAGTTGCACACATTAAAAAACAAAAGTACCCTGGGCTCTACTTTTATGTATGATTTTAAATATCCATACTAGACAAAGAAAAAAATTAAGGTTACCACACCTAAGCCAGTTTAGTCAATATTTTAAAAACAAAAAGGCTGTTTTATACATACACACACACACACACTCAACCCAGCAAGCTCACAACCCCAATATATATATATATACATATACA